TTGCAATATTTTGAAGGTGAAAAAAGAAGTTTTACATATATGCTTTATATGGTTTTCAAAGGTGAGTTGTGGATCAAAAATAACACCAAGATTGGTGACTGTATTGGAAAGAAAACTGTTCTGTCCAGAGAAAGTGATACTGAGGATTTTTTTTTGTTAAATTTGATGTGAAGTACCAATTTGAATTGCTTCCATCTTTGAACTGTTAAGGTGAAGGAAATTTTGCTGAATCCATGCCTTTATCTCCTCCAGACAAGCTGTGAGCGTGGAAAGAGAAAAATGTGGAGAAAATGGAGAAACTGAAGATGATGTAGATGGGGTCTCAAGGAGGGATGGGGCCGATCCGATCAAGTATCGGTATCGGCCTCCAATACCAGCATAATTTACGTAATGGACTTTTCCGATCCAACCTGCCGATACTTCCGTTCCATGATGCATGTTGGCTTCAAACTACGGAATGGATTTCCTGAACGGAGGCGTGTCTCATGAGCCCAGAGTAATAAGACCCGTCTTACATTCAGGAAATCCATTTCATAGTTTGCAGCCAGCTACAACGTGAGGACTGAGTTAGCAGCACTGTGGCTAACAGCTAACCAACTTTTCATCTAAACATGTCGCTGTGTGGAAGTATTTGTAGTGAACTAAGCCTTAGGTCAAGTCCTGACCCTGATGGCCTTCCTGGAACAGGAACTGTCATTTCATTGATTTGAGTCCAGAAATACAAATTAAGCTCATCCAGAGACTTTCTAAGTGTGTCCTGCTCTGATCAATTGAAAGAACACTCTCTTTTTTATTATCATTACTATTTTACAATATCTTGATAATCAAAAGTGTGTTTAGTTCAAACCATTTTAAATGTTGAAGTGAACTACTCACTTTAAATCAACTGTGAAACAGTATAAATGATTTTTAATCCTCATTCAAAGTAGAAATCAAGTTAAAATGCCTGTTACAAAGTAATTATGCATTTTGATCTTCTGTCTGAAATGAGCAAGTCGTGATGTGGGTCAGAAGTCAAGTTTCGGTCAAAAACATGTTTATCGGAACGAAATGTCATGTTTAACTTTTTCAGACAGATAGAAGGAAAACGGCTCCTAAAAGTCTCTGTTCTTCAAAACATCTTTCTGTCTGTTCTTAAAACAATCTACTCTTTCTCCTTGACTTTTAATGACCCTCTTACGTCACTAAGACCACACCCCTGTTGGTTCTTTCAACCAATCAGGAAGTTCTCAGAGGAACCGGAAGTGACCTCTTTAAAAGGGTCGACACTTCCTAGTTCCAAGCGGAACAACGGGAACTACGCGGAACCAGAGTTCCAAGCTGAACAACGTTCCAGAGAGAACCAGAGTTCCAGGGAGAACCTCGAACGAGAAGTTCAGAAGAACAGAAGTTCGAGCAGTTTCTAATGGAATGACCAGAGTCCGTCGATGCCACAACGTCTCGCTGTGGCTACTCGACGAACGCTCTGAACAATGAAGAAGTCTGTTCTGTGATGATCTCATGACTCCTGAGGTCTCTGCTATCCTTACGGAGACGCTGAAAGGTGGCTTGAAGTGGAACTTTACGCCGGAACTGAAATATCTTCAGAAAGGTAAAAGAGTCGATCTTCAACTACCAGTGTACCGTGGATTAAGCTGCGCTTCAAGGGAGCGTGTCGTTCTGGTCTAAAGACCTACATCTTCATACATCTTTTCTCTCCATTTAAACTCCCTCATTTCCCATCTTTAAAACTCTTCTATCTGCCAGTAAATCATCCAGATATTTTCATAAACGTCTGTTGTAATTAGTTGCAAGTGAGATACCATGGCTGTATGGTTCTCATTGTAAAGCTCATTAATTAAGCTGTCTTATTGAAATCAATCTGCCAATTATTGTAAATGTGTGATGTGTTTAAATCGTTTTTAAATAAATGACCCACTGTTGTTGGTGAGTCAAAGATAAAACACGTTTCCGTCCACATTTAATCATTCAAGGCAAGATAGTACTCAGTCCAGAAAAATGAAAGAATCCGTTTAAATTATGAATAATATCAGAGATAGATATAGTTCATTACATATTTTACACTAAACACCACAAAACAAGACAGCAACGTGCACTGTCTGCAGAGCCACAGCGCCACATTAAACCACGGTAAAGTTAGTTTTACGATGGACATTCGAGCTCCATGTCTTCAGCGGGGCGCTGCTCTTTGGTCAAACCGAAAGAGGCAACTCGACCCCGGCCAGCCGCGTCCAATCTGCCCCGCTCAGTCTGCCCGTCTCTGAGGAGGGGCATACTCAGCGTGGCTGACCAAAACCAGGCTGCCTGCTTCGGATTGAACAAGAAGAAAACGTCGCTGAAACCACGGAGCTAAAACGTTTATAGAGAAGCTGCTAAACTTCATCATGATTCATGACCAACTCCTATCAGTTTTAGAAAACGAAGGATTTCTCAGCTTGATACTTGCAGTCAAGATATAGTTTAATAGCTACATCATAAAGTGATGTAAAATACTAAAAACAGGAACATGTCTGTTGGTTTATGCCATGAACTTAGCGGATGTTTAAAGCCATTTAACATTTTATTTTAATTCGTTTAGTCATTACTTTAAAAGAAACAAAACAAATTCATCAAAAAGAAAACACTGAATGAAAAGAGTGCAGAACGAAGAAAAAATTTCTTATACCTGCCCCTTATTTAAAAAAATAGAAAATAACTTTAAACAAGCACTTAAATAAATCACTTTAATATCCACTTTAAAGCTAGGAATAAAAAAAACCCAACATGTTTTGTGTTAACAGAATTTAATTCTAACTTTAAAACTTATCAACATTAATAAAACTTACATCAAGTTGCCTTTTTGGACATGCATGCATATATTTGTACAAATTGTACTTGAGAGGAGATTATTACAGCCTCATAAAATCAATAATGATGATGATATCGGAACTGGATCGGTATCGGTCGATATTCAGATTTAGGTATCGGGATCGGAAGTTTTAAAAAGGTGGATCGGTGCATCCCTAGTCTCAAGACACATTGCTACCCAGCTTAAGATACAGCTGAGAATCATCAGCATAGCAATGGAATGAGATCCCATAGCTGCCGATATACAACCAAGTGGTACCATGTACAAGTTGAAAAGAAGGGGGCCCAGGACTGATCCTTGGGGCACACCACAAGAGACAGGATGGCTCAGTAACTTGGCACGCCCAATGGAGACAAACTCTGTTCTGTCCGTGAGGTATGATCGGAACCACTCCAGGGCAGTGTCAGTGAGCCCTGCAAAATGCTGTAAACAATGGAGCAGGATGTAATGATCCACCGTGTCAAAGGAAGCCGAAAGATCGAGAAGAATAAGGAGAAAAGAGGAGCCACGGTCAGCAGTGATCAACAGGTCATTTGTGACCCGGATCAGAGCTGTTACAGTGCTATGAGCAGTACGGAAACCTGATAGAAATTTGTCCAGTTTACTATTGTCATCTAGATGCTCTTGTAGATGAACTGAGACTAATTTCTCCAGAACTTTAGCGAGGAAGGGAAGGTTGGAAATGGGTCTGTAATTTGCCAGGTCATGAGGATGAAGGGTAGGTTTTCTGAGAAGAGGTTTAATTATGGCTGATTTCAGGGCAGGGGGAATATGACCAGATTGGAGGGATTGATTAACTATGGTGGTGATAAAAAGACTGAGAAAGGCAATATTAGCATGGACTAGGGCTGTTGGGAAGGGGTCAAGAGCATATGTGGAAGATTTCATGGCTCTGACAGTGGCTTCAACTTCCTTCACACAGACCTCTAGGAAAGAACAGAAGGGGGGAAGGTTCCCGAGCTGTACATTTACAGCCGGAGAGAGTACAGGGTATGAAGTGGTGAGGGCTGATCAGATTTTTTGGATCTTGTTTTGGAAAAAGGAGATGAAATTTTTACAAAGATCATTAGTGGAGTCAGTGAGTGATGCTATTTGTGGCTGAAGGAGGTGAGTGATGGTGGAAAAAAGTATTTTGGAGTTACCAGGGTTATCAGAGATTATAGATGAGTAAAATAAAGATCGAGAGTCTTTGAGGGACCTAGCATACATCTTACGATGCTCCATAGGCATTGCAACTATTATATGTGAAGGGGACGAGTCCCCCCAACATTAAAAAAACTTTCATTTGGAGCCCCCACTTTTACTATAAAGCATTAGTTCAGTCGGCGCTGTTTCTCTTTCTTTGTGAACAAATCCAATCCACTTGATTATTAGGAGAATACTCAAACCACAAAAAATCCACTCCAGGTTTTCCCGGTTACCTCCAACTCTCCACCAGCAGCCTGCAGTGTTTCTGTGCGTCTCTTCCTGCCTCGGTGTGTTCATCATGTGTTAGTTTGTGTTAGGCCATTCAGTAGAGTAACCATGAGTGCGGGAGGTGCACTGTAGTTGTCATGAAGAATTGTGGGGTTCACTCAGTCTCTGTGTGTTGAGCAGGAAGATAAAGTCTATAAAACATCATCTGGTGGTTGATTCTTGATCTACAACAAGAGCTGTACATCTCTCTCAGTAGCTGTGAGCTGCCATGTTACAACGTGAACACTTGCAGCTTATACACAGGCGTGGCTTATATCAATCAATCAACCTTTATTTCTACAGGTAAATCCCATTGAGCCTCGAGGACTCATTTACAAGAGAGACCTGATTTCAACAAAGAAAGATGACAACAACGGACAACAGCAACAACAATAAACAGTTATGAAAAAGCATACTACAGTTTTTTTTTTTAACAAGTAGGATGGCTAAAAGGGTTATATATATGTACAAAATTTGTTTTATTTAGTGTGCACGTCTTGTATTTGGGTGTGCTCTATTGACCAAAAATTACGGTAAGTTATTATTCACCTTTTTGTTGAACAATACATGTAATGTGAGAAAAATAATACACAGCTGTATTTCAAAGAAGATGTGCTATTTAGAAATTGCACAAACTGAACTTTTTCTTTTTGTGTGAGTTCTGGGGAAAAAAAAAGACTGATTAAATGTCTCTCACCTCTCCATTCTTGCTGAAGGAGATGGTTCTCGCCTCCATGTCGAGGACACAAGTGATGAAGTCTCCCTGTGTGAAGCTGCTCAGCGTCAGCATCTGCTCCCCATTGTGATACAGGTTTCCGCTGTACGCCCGATACAGCCACATATCTGATGTGGTGCGGTGGTTAAAGTCATGCACAGGCCATCGAGAGACACCGACACACGTGCCCTCATTGCCTCGATTCTCCTTCACAATGTAAAACTGCAGGTAAAGCAAATCCCAGCAGAGTTTAGTTTTTTCTGCTTCTGGTTTGAGTGTGTTGGGAGAATTCTAGCAACTACCTTCCACTGGTAGCATCCGGAGGAGATCCCAGTAGAGGCCAGGCCATAACCTTTCCCCCCGCTGCCATGCGTCAGGCCCTGACCATTCTCCACCACACAGCACTGAGCCTTCTCTGGGTCAAAAGACACCTCTTGAATAGGAAGGTTCTCATCTTCCTCTCCTTCTACCTGTCCAAACAAACAAGATGTCAGCCTCTTGAATAAACAGGTAGAATCTGTAGCCATGTTTGTGTGACAGCCTAAACACCTGCAGTTTGAGCTCCCGGACCGTCTCTTTATTCTGGATGGTGTGTTTGGCTTGAGCAACAGGAGCTTCCCACATGCAGTCGGACAGCAGAGAGAAGAGACGCTCGACAACCTAAAGAAGGAAACAAAACATTTTCTGGGCCGCGGGTGACTCTTTACGGAGAGACAAACTGAACCTTACCTGTGTCACCTGCTCATCTTCCACAGCTGCCTCACAGGCAGGCAGCACAGCCTCCAGAACATGAAGTGCCAGGAGCCGAGTTCTCATGTTTCCTACAAGAGGGACCCCTACATGTACCACCACGGAGGAGCCAAGTCTTAGAAGCATTTTAGAGTTTTAAGACCATGAACCCAACGGCTACACAAACAAGTCTTACCTGAGCAGCACTTCTGAGCAGCGATGTTGAGCAGAACTTCAGTCCATTTAGGGGAAGCCATCTTAGACTGGATAGCTTTAGAGGACACCACCCTCCTGAGGAAGACTAGGAAGTCTCCGATGTGAAGCTCTGCAGTGTGCTGCTTACGGATCAAAGCTGGTAAACAAGGAACACAGTAAACTGTACTTTATTGTCAAAGTGCAGGCAGACTTTGAAGTGCTTTTAAAAAGCATAAAATTCTCTGTTGAACTAAAGGTGCATTCACACCAGCCCTGTTTAGTCCGCTTTAATCAAACTCCAGTCCATTTGCCTAGAAAGTCTGGTTCGTTTGGGGAGGAGTGAACGCGCAATCAAACTCTGATACAGACCAAAAAATCAAACTCTGGTCCGCCTAAATACCTAGGTCTCTGTTCGGTTGAAGTGAACTCTACCGTGGTTCGAATGCAGTGTGAATGCAAGCGGACCGGAGACCGCTCCAAAAGCAGGAAGTGGACTACAGCGCAGGGCATTTTGGGTAAATACAACCAAAACAAACACACATTTCTCATACAGAGCCGTCAGCTGCCTTGTGTGAAAAACAACATTCTCCATGGTCTTCTGCCTCATCTTCTGCTCATGCTGAGTCCATTGTTGAAAAACGACAAACCAGAACTCCTAAAACTGCTAAAATTTGATGCCAATCCGTGTTTGTTTTTATATCCAGAAGAAGAAGAAGAAGTGTCTTCTTCAGAGGTTTTTGTGCTGTTTCCTTCAGTAGTTCTTGGTGCAGCGCTCCCACAGGCAAGGGAGGAAACAGGTTGGCTCGACTGACTCTGTGCAGTGTGAATAAGAACCACACCAGCTGAAAATGTAAACAAATGTTCTGAATTTTGGTCCCCAATCGAACCGGGTCTACCGGACTATAAGGTGTGAAAACACCCTAAAACACTTCTTACGACCGTAATTTCTGGACTATAAGCCACTACTTTTCTCACATGCTTTGAACACTGCGGCTTAGACAATGCTGCAACAATATTTATTCATTTATTTTTGACGGGCTAATGAACTTCCTGCCACCAAAACATTTAGCCTCATCACACCCCGGCGCTCACATAGCTGCCCAGTACATGTCTCTCTCGGGGGGTGGGTCCTCGTAACTAAATGAGACTACCTGTCTTTAAAAAAAATCTGACCAATGAAATTACAGAAAAAGTCAAAGTGGACCAAAGAAACGTGGTTACGCCCCTCGTTGTACACAACAAAGTATTTGCAGCCACTCAAAAAAAATGTGAATCAAAAATAAAATAAAATGGCGAATTTGCCTCAAGACGAAAGTGACGTTGAGAGCGACAACGAAAGAGAGACTGAGGACGTGTGTGTTAAGTTTTTCTGAGGCTGTTCAATTCTGACACTGAAGAAGATGGCTTTAGTGGTTTTATTGCACAAGAGGAATGAAGACGATGACTTTTCCTGGTTGGCTACTGTATTTTATTTATTTATTTATTTTTAACCAGCCGTGTTCCAGGCACTGTTAAAAAAAATAATTGACTGTAGATATTTGTGTTTGTTACCGGTACATCCATCCATCCATCCATTTTCTTTACCCGCTTACTCCATTTTGGGTCACGGGGGTCGCTGGTGCCCATGTCCAGCAATCACTGTGCGAGGGGCGGGGTACACCCTGGACGGGTCGCAAGTCCATCACAGGGACACATAGAGACAAACGAGACAAACAACCATTCACTTTCTCACTCACACCTAGGGACAATTTAGAGTTACCAATCAGCCTAACATGCATGTTTTTGGTCTGTGGGAGGAAACCGGAGCACCCGGAGAAAACCCACGCATGCACGGAGAGAACATGCAAACTCCACCCAGAAAGACCCCTGGACCGGGGTTTGAACCAGGGACCTGCTCGCTGAGAGGCAGCAGCTCTACTT